CTGTAGTGTGTGTGTCTGTAGTGTATATATGTAGTGTGTGTGTCTGTAGTGTATGTATGTAGTGTGTGTCTTTAGTGTATATATGTAGTGTGTGTGTCTGTAGAGTATATATGTAGTGTGTGTGTCTGTAGTGTATGTATGTAGTGTGTGTGTCTGTAGTGTATGTATGTAGTGTGTGTGTCTGTAGTGTATATATGTAGTGTGTGTGTCTGTAGTGTGTGTGTGTGTCTGTAGTGTATATATGTAGTGTGTGTGTCTGTAGTGTATAAATGTAGTGTGTGTGTTGTGGGATCAGCTCCTGAAGCTCCAGCTCCTCTGGAAGCGGCTCTTCAGCGTCTGCATGGCTGGTTTGGCTCTCGCTCTGGTCTCTCCGTCCTCAGGGAAGCGTCTGCTGTAGATCTCTGGATGAACTCTCTTGAACTGAAAAATCAACACAACCTTCAGTCAACACACACACACGTAGCACGCACACACACACACACACACGTGCTCGGTTGTCCGAGCGCTCTCTCCGATAATAAATATTATTTATCAATAATAACGAGTTAATATTAATCATTAATATTCGGTTCAGCGGTGTGTCTCAGGATATGTGTAGTGTGTATTACTGTAGTGTAGTGTGTGTTACTGTGGTGTAGTGTGTAGTTTAGTGTGTGTAACTGTAGTGTAGTGTGTGTTACTGTGGTGTAGTGTGTGTTACTGTGGTGTAGTGTGTAGTTTAGTGTGTGTAGTGTGTGTTATTGTGGTGTAGTGTGTAGTTAGTGTGTGTAACTGTAGTGTAGTGTGTGTTACTGTGGTGTAGTGTGTAGTTTAGTGTGTGTAATGTGTGTTACTGTGGTGTAGTGTGTAGTTTAGTGTGTGTAGTGTGTGTTATTGTGGTGTAGTGTGTAGTTAGTGTGTGTAACTGTAGTGTAGTGTGTGTTACTGTGGTGTAGTGTGTAGTTTAGTGTGTGTAGTGTGTGTTACTGTGGTGTAGTGTGTAGTTTAGTGTGTGTAGTGTGTGTTACTGGGGTGTAGTGTGGTAAACACTAGCCTGCTTCAGTCTCCTCCTGCGCTCGCGGCCGCTGCTGATCTTCATGATGTTCTCCAGCAGATCCTCCATGTGGGAAACTGAGACTCGCTGCTGCTCCAACTGCTGAGAGCTGATCTGAGAACAGTACACTGCAGAGGAGTCGCTGTCTGAGCCTGCGGGTCGGATCTACACACACACACACACACACACACACACATCTGTCAGGTCACACGCTTGCACTGATCCCACATCAGCATGGAGGAAGACAAAAGCCGATCCTCTGTGTTTGTTTATATTCACAGCTAATGTGTGGGCCAATGGGCGGAGCTACAGGGAAGTGGGCGTTGATTATTGCTGGTGTCCTTAGTCTCCGCCTGCAGCTTGTGTGGGCCAGTGGGCGGGGCTACAGAGAAGTGGGCGTCGATTATTGGCACTGTATCCTCCTCCTCAGAGGCGTGTCAGCAGTGTGTGTTCAGTAACAGCGGTTTATTCTAATGAGGGTCTGTCAGGATGTTTGAGCGGCTGTGACCATATAAGGACAAAGCTGAACGTAACCAGAGCTTCCCTAAGTACTGCCTGGAGAACGGTATAGAGGGTGGAGCCACCTCCAAGTAGGAGGGACATGAGCTTCAAGTCGGCTGTACAATCTGGAGCTTTAATTAATTTAATATCTTGCACATGACAGCCCAGCCCACTGTGTTTAAGAGGTCTGTGTTAGGGTTAGATTGAGCCGTGTGTGTGTGTGTGTGTGTGACCTGTGTGCGTGTGATCTGTGTGACCTCCTCCTCCACACTCCTCCGCAGGCTCGCCGGCACCTCCAGCAGCTCCTCGTGGTCCAGCAGAAAAACCAGCAGCTTAGAGGACAGCAGATCATCCAGATCCAGATCAGCAGCAGAGCGCAAGACAAAGTGGGAAAACGTCTGCACCATCTGCGCACACACACGATTGTTCGGCTCCACCCTTAATACATATATATATATATATATTAAGGGTGGAGCCGAACCCGAATACGGTATTCGGAAAGGCATGAATAGCGTGTTTTACGAATACTTATTTCGAACAAATACTTGAAAAATTATTTGTATTCGGGAGCAAGAAAAGCATTATATCAAAAAGCTGCGTTTCCTCCTGAGACCACAGTGCGTGAGTGAGAGAGAGAGAGAGAGCGAGAGAGAGAGAGAGAGAGGGAGAGAGGGAGAGAGAGAGAGAGAGAGAGAGAGAGAGAGAGCGAGAGAGAGAGAGAGAGAGCGAGAGATAGAGAGGGAGAGAGAGAGAGGGAGAGAGAGCGAGAGAGAGAGAGAGAGAGGGAGAGAGAGAGAGAGAGGGAGAGGGAGAGAGAGAGATAGAGAGGGAGAGAGAGAGATAGAGAGGGAGAGAGAGAGAGAGAGAGGGAGAGAGAGAGATAGAGAGGGAGAGAGAGAGAGGGAGAGAGAGAGATAGAGAGGGAGAGAGAGAGACGTGCTCAGTCGGAGGGCGGGGCGGAGGTAAAAGGTCTCTGGCACAAGCTTCTCCACAACAGCAGACAGAGAAGGCTCGGCTGAGCGAAAAAAACACTTCTCTGCATCAGTATTTTTGTTAAATAGATTTTTGTACCTTAATTGGGTTCCAGATGCAGTTTATAAACTTGTAGCAGAGTTTGTTCGGGATTTTCCATTACGCTGCATTTTAGAAGTTTGCAATCGGGTGCTCTCTGTTTACACAACTTTAGCTCTGTTAGCGCGGTAATTTAGACAATAGACTGTTGACAGAGTAACGTTAACGTTTGTTTATGAAGGTTTAAACGATGCTTGTGCAGTTGTGTCGAATAGTATGCACTTATGGGAGTTATATGGTACGTCTACATTACTGTCTTTTGCAGACAGCAAGATATATGCTATAGGCTAGTTAACCTTAGCATAGCTTCCCGTCACTTTTTATTAACTTGAAACTCCTCAAATACATTTGGGCACCATGAAAAAAAATGAGACTGCTGCTGAGCCATTTCTTGGTCCTGCACCAGTAAAAAAAATAAAACTTCATGTTCTTTGTGGAAGCATTTTACAGTCAGTGGAGCTGCAGATAAAACAAACTGATACTGTATAATGTGTGCAAAAGTGAAATCAGCAGAGGCAGATATTAAACATCTGTCAACATCTTCTATGCATAATCATTCATTTTCTTTTCGGCTTAGTCCCTTTATCAATCTGGGGTTGCCACAGTGGAATGAACCACCAATTTATCCAGCATATGTTTTACGCAGTGACTGCCCTTCCAGCTGCTACCCAGCACTGGGAAACATCCATACACTCTCTTTCACACACATACAATAGGGACAATTTAGCTTACCCAATTCACCTGTATTGCATGTGTTTGGACTGTGGGGGAAACCGGAGCACCCGGAGGAAACCCACGCCAACATGGGGAGAACCCAGTCGAGGCTCGAACCAGCAACCTTCTTGCTGTGAGGCGACAGTGCTACTCACTGTGCCACTGCGCAACCTTCTATGTAATGTATCATCACATGCACTAAAGAATCCTCTCCTGATACTGTCTGTGAACCCCCCACAAGCATCAATCCCCTTAATCAGCACAGCTATGTTCTGCTAAATCCTCCACAAGCACCAAACCATCAACACAGCCACATTCTGCCCCAGCAAGTCAGTTTCAAACATAAAAAAGTAAAAAAAAAAAAAAAAAACTTTGTGTCTGTTTTGTGGCAGGCAGATGACAATAGCAGGGCTGTGTCTTTTAGTATTATATAGAATACTTTTGTTCTGCCAGATCTCCCGGGCAGGGTTTATTTAGATTTATTTAGTCAATATTAGTTTTTGGAATTCTGTCCATTGGAAAGAAGTTCTTTTAGAAGAAGAACAGTTTTTTGAAATATTATTTGTTTTTATTTTGTCTATTCAGTGTCCTTCAACAAGAACGGTGGTGGTGGGGTTCATAATATTCACAATGGTATTTTATTAGTTGTTGGTTTAACCATGGATGAGATAATGGCTTCTATGTTTTTTTTTTTTCAATGACATTTCTTGTCACATGTTCAAAAACAACAACCAATATTACATATCAATAATTTATTTAATGGGTATAATTAAACATTACTTTCACTACAATGTAAATTAGAAGTGTAATAGAAAAAATATATATTTTTGCGCCATTTTGAAGTTTACTTGAATACAAATACAAATACAAATACAAATACAAATACAAA